GATGAATGTAATCATAACGCGATTACAATTTTGCCAGAATGGCGTGATATAAGTAAACTAGATTGTCCCTTTAGCGCTGAGAGTCAATCATGTTCTCTTTGATTCTCTTTGAGTATGATTAACCTCCATCATGTTTCTCAACAGAGGGAATTATAACAAGTGTCGATTCCTTCACGAACAAGTAGGGGTGTTCAACAAGACCGCTTTCTGGGTAGAGTTTTACACGTGAAATCCTAGGAGCGTTTTTGAAGCTCAGGAGAGGTCTACTGATCGCGCTGAATGAATTTTCAAGTGTTTTTCTGTACGGCCGATGGCGAGCAAGCAAGATTCAATCATTGTTACAACATCGTCCAGATTCTCAGTCGCATAATAACAATCTCTTACCGGAACATAGCCAAAGTTTGGTACTGTTCGAAATCAGATTCAGCTCTCCCTTGCTGAACTTCAGGACCACCGCGACGTTGAATTTGAGCACGCCGTTTTTTCAATGCCTCCTGCAGAAAACATATCAAAGCATCAGAGATTTTATTCAACTTAGTGAATTTTCCGTTATGGATGAACCGAGCATTCGACAACTACTACCCCAACACTTCATATCTATGCACCTTTCAACTTCTATTATAAATGCGTTCGAGTTTTCATAAGTATATAGTATTCGGCGACTTCCAATATCTACACCATGCAGCTCCCGACAACATCGCTGCATACACGATTGCTCCAAAGTGTGTTATCATCGCTACTCTGAAACATACTCATTTTTTTCTCATATTCTCATCATCTTTTCCTATACACATTCTGTTTTATCGTTATCACATCTACACTAACTCCTATACCACAATAACGACTACTGCTCAAACCACAATAACGACTACTGCTCAAACCACAATAACGACTACTGCTCAAACCACAATAACGACTACTGCTCAAACCACAATAACAACTACTGCTCAAACCACAATAACGACTACTGCTCAAACCACAATAACGACTACTGCTCAAACCACAATAACAACTACTGCTCAAACCACAATAACGACTACTGCTCAAACCACAATAACGACTACTGCTCAAACCACAATAACGACTACTGCTCACACCACAATAACGACAGAGAGACTTACTTGTTCCTCTTCTAACCTTTTCTGAATAACCGCCGCCCTATCCAAAAGCCTCTTACGGAAGTCACTTTTACACCTGCGATCAATTCAATGACACTTTCTCGTGAAAATCGAATTACTTTTTAACAACAAATTCCGCTTGGAGTGCATCTAGCTGTTCTCCACGGAACTCTGCCAAATACGGCATCAAAATGTCCATCTAAAGAGCTCATGTTTTCAACCTGGTCGAATTCTAATTCGCCAATACAACTTAATTGCTTCAAAAAACAAAATTTGTGATACTAACGACATACGGGGAGTGGTTCTAATAACAAGAAACTTACTCTTCACATAAAGTGCACCCACATATTGATATAGGAAATATTCAAGTGAATTCATCTACTTTATTATTTTCATTGTGACTTTCGCTTCCAAAATTAATGATATTAGCGCGAATCAGCTTGATAATTTCAAACTAATTCCGATGAGATTTCGCGATATGCCCACTTTTTTCTCAGCTATTTTCGTCGCACTATCCTCCCCATATTCCTCCGAACCATCTTCCAGCGGCGTGACTTCAGCCAAAGCTCCTCTGGCGTAATCGTATACGTTTT